CGGCGCCCAGAGGCGGGGCGGGCGCGGCCGGCGCTGCGGCGAGAGCCAAAAATGTGAAGTTTCCCTATCAGCATCTATCTTGTCTACACTGTGGGTGAAGGCACTATTCTAACCTTGGGGTGTAGGACAGACCAGTCTGGGATCTTGTGGAATTTATAACCCGTAAGGGAAGAAGCCCTGTTTGTCATGTGCACTATCTTATCCCAGCCTGGAGCAGAGTGCTTGGCACATATTTGTACTCAGCAAATATCTGTGAATGGATGAGTGACCACAGTGCAGAGACCCAAGAGAAAATGTTACTTTACCCAAAATGCATTCATTCATCATTCTCTCCTCTTCCCTCACTTCCTGTCTGTTTTTCTTAAATATTTGCCATCCACACTGATGGTGTCTTCAGTGCCTACATACTGTGTAGCTGTACAGATGAGGATTCATGAGCCTGAATCCCAACCAAGCAGTGGCACACAGATGTATTCTCGACTAGATGGAGTGCTGTCCCTCCCCCACAGGAAGACAGAGTGCATGGACATCTGAGAGCAGGGCCAAGATTTTTCTCAAGGAAAAGACTGGCTCTATTAATATGCCTGGACTGGTATAATTTCAAGATGTTAGAAGTTTGTTTCATAAAGTCTGGACAATTCAAATTTGGATCAAAAAATTTTACTAGATAATCTTTTAAAAGCCCGATGTTTTAGTAGCACAACATTCTCATGGGTCCTCCAATGTTTAGTTTGTCCAGCTGATTAAATATCTAAACTTCAGTTGAGAAGAGGAAAAACCAAAAGGAAAAGAAAGAGACTACATATACTCCCAGCAATGTAGACCAGACTCGGAACACTTCCTCAGCAAGGTTCATATTCGTATGTAAATTTAGTTACAAATTAGAAACAATGTTATCTTGCCGATGTTCTTAAGTTCTTTGATCTCTTGCAGCAACTTGCATTTAGAAAATCGTCTTAAAGCGAAAATTGTTGAAAAATTTTTAAAAGAAAGTGATTTTAGATTGTAAGCCTCTTGACACAAGAAACCATATTTTATATTTCTTCTTTATTTTATTTTTTATTTTTTTGTGAAAAAATCCTTGGGTTTATTTTTTTTAACATTTTTTATTGATTTATAATCATTTTACAATGTTGTATCACATATTTTATATTTCTTGTGACCTTTCCCACAAACATGACTTGTCCCCAGAACACTTAGTATCATAGCAGTTTCTCAGCAGCATTTATAGTATGTTAATTAACTGATTGTTTGCAATTTATTGATTACATTTCTATCCCAGGCATCATTTACCTTCACAGTTACAACTCCCAAGTAAAAACATTCAGTAAGTGTTTGGTTTTTTAAAAAGTCTATTTTAGAATTGGACTCTAACTACAGGTGATTTCTAGTGTGAAAATGAATGGCTTGGTACTCAGAGCAGACTCTTTTACCTCCTTTTTCCCTTTGGAAGTGACTGGATACTTGGATCTTGAGCTGTGGTATCTTCCCACTTTCCATCCATACCCACAGTCAGGTTGACAGATGCTTCCCAGCTGGAATGAGTCACCCCTTCTCTGAGATTTTTCACTTGCCTCTACGATAGCTCAACCATGTTGCGGGGTAACAATTTGTGTATACATCTATATCGCACATTAGATGAGCTCTTTGGGTTTAGACACTCTGCCTTATGCCGTCAGCATCTAGCAGAATGACTGTCATCTCCAGAGCCTCTAACGTCAGGGGTCAGCACATGTGAAATAGGTTCAGGAAGGCATGTTGCAGATATCATCAAAGAGACCAAGAGCATCTACCCCTGACAGGTACTTACCTGGTAACTGAAGGATGTATCAGCCAGCACTGCAAACTGACGGAACAATGTGTGCCTAGTAAACATCTCGTTCTTGAGGGTGTGAAAGCTGAAATAAAAGAAGCAGAGGGATGAAAAGGAACAGAAATTACAGGAAAGAGCAAATCAGTCCTATGCTCATGCAATTAGAAACTAGAGTTTTCGATGTAAGAGCAAAGGGATACAAGTAAAAATGTCAACATGTTGGTATGAACTTATTTCTTTCATTTTTAAAACTACCTATCTTCCCGCCCTGAAAAGCAAACAGGAGGGAAGAGCCGCACGGGATATTAACACATACCATAGAAATCACAGTATAAGAACAGTTTGGAGAGGAAAAATAAATGGAATAGGGTAGGAACACTGAAACAGATTCCAGAATGTACTAGAACACAGTGTATGACTAAAGTGGCCCCACAACCCAATCTAGAAAGGGTGGGCTGTTTAGTAGATGGTGCTGGGGAAAGTACTTCCCTTGGCATAGGAAGGCGACCTCCCAATGGAGTGAAGACCTAAACATGAGAGGTAAATCAAGAAGGCTTGTATAAAAGCGTGCGAGAACATTTTAGTGGAGATGGGGAAGGACTCTCTAAACACAAACCTAGGGCAAAAATACTAATGGATAAGAACTAAGAATTTCTGTACAATAAAGGACAGCATACACAAAGTTAATAGACTGGGAGAAGAAATATATAACATCTAAAATTGACGAAGAATACATAAAGGAATTTCACAACCGACAAGAAAGCAAAAGATGAAAACAGTTCACAAAAGAGGGAGGTCCTTTGGAAGGAAAACAGATTCAAAAAAGTTTTTGAGAGTTAGATATTAACAAATATTAGGACTCAGTCCTTGTACATCTCTGCTTTTCTCCAACACTCACTCTTAGTTGATCTCATTTAATCTCATGGCTTTAAATGCCATCTGTGCTAAATGCATCCCAGATGTATGTGCCCAGCCTCAACTTTCTTCTGAACTCCAGACTCATGTGCTCATTACTGCCATTAGACATCTATCCTTAAGTGACTAAGGCATCATAAATTTAATGTCTCAAAACTGAATTGACTTCCCACCAAAATGTGCTTGCTCGTCTCAGTTGAAAGGCGACTCTATCTTTCCCGTCATTTAGGTAAAATCCTTGCAATCATCCTTGACTTCTTTCTTTCCCACTTTATCTCCAATCTTTCAACACATCCTACTTGCAAAATATACCCCAAATTTAATCATTTCTCAGCACCTCCACTGCTCCCATCCCAGTCAAATCACCATCTTGTTTTGCTTAAGAGAGGGTTATTCTTTCTGGAGTTCCTAACTTTCCTCCTTGCTTTTCCTTTGAGTTCTCTAGGGCCTTTTATCAACATAGAGGTCAAAATAATTCTTGTAAGACAGCAGGTCAGTTTGGGTCTTTCCTTAGTTCAAGATTTTCCAATGAGGTTTTAGGGCACCAACTCATTATTCTGAATATTGACAAATAAAGGGAATCAAGCATTTATCTTATCTCACCTGAAACC